ATTGAGCACAATTTAAAGCTTGGAAGAAACAATACAATATATTTTTGATAATGAACTGAATTAAATCTTTGTTGGAGAAATCTTATAAAGCATTGTTATGAAAATATGGAAACTGTAGTCATCTCTGTTTTTTCTCATTACTTTTGGTTTGGAACTGAGTGGAGATCAAGAGTTGAACTTTGAGTACCAGCTTGTTTTAAAGGAAAAGAGAACAAAGAAAAACATTTGCTGTTGGGAACTGACCTGGAAGATTGTACAATTTATAAACTGTTCTAAGGACACTGTAGATGAATTGGCACCAAGCTGCTGCTGTGCTCTAGATTGGCTGTTGAATTTACTAATCAAGGGAGAATGGGTGCTAACCAGCTAATCACAGAGAACACAAAGAACATCAAATAACACAGCACAGAAACAGGCCCTTTGGCCCTCAAGCCTGCGCTGACACATTTTACCCTTCCATACTGAAACTGTCTTCACTTACAGGATCTGTATCCCTCTATTCCCTTCCTGTTCAGGTATTCATCCAGGTGCTTTTGAATGCTGCTATTTTGTCTGCATCGACCATCTCCTCTGGCAATGCATTGCAGGCACTCCACCATTTTTGTGAAAAACATGCCTCGCACATTTCTTTTAAACTCCACCCCCCCGCCCTGCCCTGCTACCATCATGAGCCTGTGTCCCCCAGTAATTGACCCCTCCACCCTCATAATTGCTGCTCTATCCATGTCATTCACAATCTTATAAACTTCTATTAAGTCGCCCCTCAATCTCTGCATGCCAGTGAAAACAAACCCAGTCTATCCAACCTTTCTTCATAGCTAAAATCCCCCATACCAGGCAACAGCCGAGTAAACCTTTTCTGCACCTTCTCTAGAGCATCCACACCCTTCTGGTAGTGTGGTGACCAGAACTGCATGCAATATTCCAAGTGTGGCCTAACTAAAGTTCAATAAAGTGGCAGCATATCTTGTTTATCCTTATACTCAATGCCCCTTCCAATGAAGGCCAGCATGCCATAGTCCTTTTTTACTACCTTCAGTGATCTGTGGAGCTGAACACACAGATCCCTCTGCATATCAATACTCGTAAGGGTTCTGCCACTCACTGTATAATTTCGACCTGTATTTGACATTCCAAAATGCATCACCTCACATTTGTTTGGATTAATCTGCCATTTTCTGCCCATGTCTCCAACTGATCTATATCCTGCTGTATCCTCTGACAATTCTCCTCAGCATCCGTAACTCCACCAATCTTTGTATTGTCTGCAAACTTACTAATTAGACCAGCTACGTTTTCCTCCAAATCATTTATGTACACCACGAACAGCAGAGGTGCCATTACTGATCCCTGTGGAACACCACTAGTCACAGTCCTCCATTTGAAAAGCATCCTTCCAACGCTACTCTCTGTCTCCTATGACTAAGCCAGTTCTGTATCCATTTTACCAGCTCACCCCTGATTCCTTGTGACTTCACTTTTTGTACCATTCTGCTGTAAGGGACCTGGTAAAGGGCTTTGCTTAAGTCCATGTAAACAATATCAACCGCTTTTCCCTCATCAATCATCTTTTGTCACCTCCTCAAAAAACTCGATCAAGTTAGTGAGGCATGACCTCCCCTGCACAAAACCACCCTGTCTATTGCTAATAATTCCATTTGCTTCTAAATGCATTTGATTTTGTCACTGTAAATGTTTTCCAATAATTTCCTTACCACCAACGTGAGACTCACAGGCCTATAATTTCCAGGATTACTCCTGCTACCCTTATTAAACAGTGGGAAAACATTGGCTATTTTCCAATCCTCAGTGAGTGTTGATTGGAAAAAGAAGAAAAAATAGTTCCGACTGGATTTTGGCGGCAGAGTGATTTCTGAAAACCTCTGGGGACTGCTGTTGTGCTTTGCTCTCTCTAGTTTTCTATCAAGTTATCAAATTGTTGAATGCTCTGAGAAAAAAATCCCAGTCTGTAGCAAATAAGTGAATGTTTCTAGAGGCCTGATGAATCTGTTTGCATTAACTGGTGACTTTGGAATTTAACCGAGTTATACAGTTCTACTTGCCTGTGAATAAACCATTGTCCAAGGATTTCTTGTAGGCTTAATATCCATCATTTGAAATGGGTTATTGAACTGTAGCAAAATAATTTGCCTGCCTGTCTACTTTCATTGACTTATGTACAAAGGACAGCTAGATAACTTTGTACATCCACGTATCCCAATGTATCACTATTTGAACATTACATGCCATTCTGTTTCTTACATTCTGATATATCACTTTATATTTGGACACATTGTGTACTGTGTTCTGCCCTGGGTTTGCCCATTTAGTCAACTGTCTAAATCACTTTGAAGTCTCCTTGTATCCTCCATGCAACTCACCATTCTGCCCAGTTTTGTGTCATCAGCAAACTTGGAAAAGCTGCATTTCATCCTTTCATTCTGATCATTTGGATATATTGTGAATAGATGGGGCCCAAGCACTGATATTCATGATACCCCACTAGTCCCTGCCTACCATGTAGAAAAGACCCATTTATTCCTTCTATTTCCCATCTGTCAACTAATTCTCAATCCATATCAATATATTACCCCATACTCATGTGCTTTAATTTTGCCCATTAACCTCCTGTGTGGCACCTTATCAAAAGTCTTCTGAAAACCCAAATATTTCACATTCATTGGTTCTCCCTTATCTGGTCTACTGGTTACATCCTCAAAAACGCCAGTAGATTTGTTCAGTTTGGTTTGCCTTTCGTAAACACTTGCTGGCTTTGTCCAATCTCATTGAAACTTTCCAAGTATTCTATTATCATGCATTTTTATTGCAGACTTCAGAATGCAGAAGCCAAGAGCTGCAGACCCACATAATATGCTGCCACTGAATAACATTAGGTTAAAGGAGCACATTTCTGGCATCTGGCTGCAAAGGCTGGAACAAATAGTCACGGTATCAGAGTAAAGGTCTAAAATGAGGAGATGTTTTATTCACTCAGAGTATTCTGAACTTTTAGAAATCTCTGCTCCAGAAAGCAGTAATTTCACTATCCTTAAGATTTCAATAGATTTTTGTATACTTCAGGAATGGAGGGGTATGACACAGCAGACACTGAGGTATAAGTTCAGCTGTGGTCTTACTGAATGGTGGAACAGGATTGAAAGGCTGAATGGCCAATTATTAATCCTATTTTTTTTATTCTCTTCCATGGCAGTGAGGTCTACATCTCACCAGTCTCTAGGTAAAGAGGTTTTGCCTGAATTTATGACTAGACCGGATTTGTTTCTAGATACGTAAGAAACAGTACCGAAGCATTTAGATCTTAAACTTCCAATGGTAACTATGTGTTTTGTTGCAAAGAGTTTTGGGGAAGGTGTGTGGTTATCACAGATCATTTCCGCAAAAAATGGCAGGCTGTTCTGGTTGCCTTCAACTTCCCATTGTTGAAAGACATGCTGGAATCCGGTGATAAGTGCAGAATCCAGCATTAAGAGATTAGAAGTGTGTGCAAAGTAGATTACCATGAGATTTCCAGAAATGCTTGGATCAAATTCAAGAGACTCGGAAAATTATTGTTGGAAGTTAAACATCTGCAGTTTAATTGTCATCAGCTGTAAAGTTTTATGTGCTCTTTCCGGATTTTATCACAATTCGGATGTGGTTTAATATTTTGCGTTGTATACTGTATTGAAGTCATAATTGGGGTAATAAATTCTGAATTATTAAACTGTATTTTTACTGAAAACTTTCAGGAAATAACATACAATTACAGAACTGAGGTTCATAACAACGGACTGGCTTATTAAGTGATGAGGCAGATGATACTTTCAGCTTTTTTCAACAGCTTCAAAGTCGCTAACATAAGCACAATACTATGCAGTCCTGTCTCGAAGTTCTTATATTTCAATTCTTTAATTTGCATTCAGTTAGTCTATTGTTCAAACTGCACACTGGCTGTGTGTTTACCTTTCCCATTCTCTGGTATCTGAAAATTCATCTTTGGTCATATTTGGTTGTGAATCAGCATGATATTGGCAAGCCAAGAAGCCCAGACTGCACGATTGAAGCTGTCTTCATTGTGTGTTATAAATTGTCTTGCAGATTTCCAGTCACTGATGCCCAGGTCTCAACTATGTCTCAATGAGCAAATGCCATCCTCAGATACTTTAAGCAGCTCACTTGAACTGAGCAATAACAACAACTTGTATTTGCAAAGCACATTTAGTGTAGTAAAGTAGCCCAAGGCATTATTGTTGGATCATTTGCAAGCAAAAGCAATGATCCTGTTGACTGGACGTTCAGAGAGGTGATCAAAGCCTTGGGTAAAGAGAGAGGGATTAACTGTGAAGTACATAGGTAATGAGGTTTAGGGATGGAATTTTAGAGTTTTGATCTCTACCAGCCAAAGGGAGGGGTGTAAAAGAGAAGTGATTAAAATGGTGATTATGTAAGAGGCCAGAATCTGATAGGTGCAGAAATCTTGGAAGATGGTAGCTAGAAGAGTTTACCAAGAGTGGAGTGATGTTGCCATGTCGGGATTTGTTATTGAGAATAAGAGTGATGTAGCATTTAGGGATTTGATACCAAGAGTGAGAGGGATGTAGCCTTGTAGAGATTTGAAAACAATGATCCTGAATTTTAAAATTTTGAAGTGACCATGAGCCATTGTGGTTTAGTGTGTGTAGAGTGAAGAGTGAATGGGACTTGGTTAGGACACCAGGGGGAGTTCCTTTCCAATTCTTTGAAATCATGCTATGGATCTTTCGTGCCTACCAGGGCAGACAGGCTGTACTGCAATGAGAGTGTCAACCTTTTGTGCTGAAGTCTGTGGTTTGAGATTTGATCCCACAACTTCATGACTCAGAGGTATGAGTTTTACACACTGAGCAATAGCTGCAATAAAAATGCAAGTAGTTGTTTAAGATTTTTCTTTACTTTGACTCAAATCCAGTTACCATATGAATTTGTTTACAAACATTATGTAACACTTTCTGTTTCTTCAGGCCCCAAACCAACGGACAGAGCCTCAAGAAAGAATTAGACCACTAACTAGCCTGGATCATCCAAAAAGCCCCTTCTATGATCCTGAAGGGGGTCCAATTGTTCCTGTGGCCAGAGTTGTGATTGAAAGAATTGCAAGAAAGGTAACATGGATTTCTCAGACCATTCAGAAACAAACCGCTGACTACAATGAACTGTTACTGGGATTATGTCATAAGCAGATTGGAGCGTAAAATTCTCAGGAATTGAAGAGAATGCAACCTGCGGATCTTTAGTTCCTATTTGTGAGGACTTTATTAGAAAACTCCCTTGCTTTTATATGTATCTAGAAAACATTTCTATTAGGGCTATATGGCCCTGAAATTCTGATGTTCCCCATTCACCCACCCCCTCAAGCTTTGTTGTGGGAAATGTGTGGAATGATCATTATATTCATTAAATAGTTAACACAAGTCATCAACCACCTATGAGGTGGTTAAGGTTATTAGTATATTTATGCCTGTGCTTCTTTCAAAGTTCTGACAGTGATGCCTGTTACAATCTTCCCCTGTCAGTCCCCCTTTTAATCAGGAACAGTCCATAGTTCTTCTACTAGTGGAGGTCCCCAAAGCCTCTCTCCATCCAAAGGCAAAAGCGGGTAACACATAGATTAAAGGGTCAATATTCAGACAAGTAAATAATCAGCCAACACCAGTGGTGTTGTAAGGGATCACATGACAGAAGCCTCTGGACAGAAATGATTCTGTGTACAGCCTCATTCTGTGTTTATAGTATAAATGGTTAGCAGGATGTTAAATAAAAAAGTAATCCTACCAACTCCTTAAACTCGAGAAATAACTGCAGATCTTACCGAGGACACATCATCTCCTAAGACTCACTACTATGATAACAGAAAAAGGCTTTTGTTGAATCTTTGGATCAGACAAAATGCCAAGACTGATCACATTCTCCTATGAGGCCTTTCAAAAAGCTCCATGAGTTCAGGCCAGTTCTGAGAATCATTAGAGAGCGGTCTGGTACTCTCAGATTGGAAAGGGGCAATTAATAGGCATAAGATACACCAACAGCCTAAACTTTCTCATTGAGGTGCTGCTGGTTAGGATTCTGGCAGAAATCACTTCTGCAGCACATAGTCTTGAGAACTGCTGCGGTTTCCCCTTGGCACCTCCTCCTCAATCATCACCACCATTATTTTTATTAAGCTATTCATTTGTGGTTGTTATTGGCAAAGCCAACATTTATTGCCTGTCTTCAATTGTTCTTGTGCAGGTGGTATTGAGCTGCTATCTTGAATACCAATGAGTGGCTTGATAGGCCATGTCAGAGGGCAGTGAGGAGTTGTTGTGGATCTGGAGTCATATGGTAGCTGGACAGGATATGGATGGGCAGATTGCATTCTCTAAAGGACATTAGCAGCTGGTTTTTATGACTGTTTAGTAGTTAACATGGTCACCTTTACTGAGACTAGCTTTACATTCCAGATTTATTTAATAAATTACACTTAAATTCCCCAGCCACCATAGTGGGTTTTGAACTCCTATCTTTGGATTTTTAGTCCAGGACTCAGGATTACTACAAAAGTGAAATACTGTAGAAGCTGGAAATCTGATGGAAGTTCTCAGACCTGAAGCTCTTAGTTCTATTTTCCTCACCTCAGTTAGTGTCTGATAGCTGAGCTTTACCAACATTTTCTGCTTTTGCATCCGGATTCGTGGCCTAGTAATATCACCACTTTGCTGCCACACTCTGACTTGGCTATGCTATTGCATTGTTATTTAGTGAGCCAATGTTTTTGTGACTTTTTTTCTCTTTTCCTAGCAATGCCTACCTTTGAGTAACAGGCAAAACAATGCAGTAAAAGAGACAAGGAATTGAGTTTAGCTAGTTGTAATGTCATTACACTGCCCTTGCTTGGCACTTCATGGATGTCACAGTGTAGATGGTATATTTATTTTCTACAGATCCTTGAATGGGAAAATTAGATATTAACATTGCTGTGATTTATGAAATAAATGTTAATTCATCAGGAAAAAGCTTTCTAACTACCATCTTGAGCTTACATGTGCAAAACAAAATCTCAAAACTAAGGTCTCCATTTTGAAGAAAAATCCTTGAATTCCAATGCCACCACAGTGAAGCCATTGAAATACTGAACCGTTTGTGAGGTTTAACATCATGCTCACCCAGAGAATTGGAGAGAGTTAATCAGAATGATATATTTCTGCAAAATAATGTAATTTTTTTTTTAAAAATGCCATTGAATTGTATTTGCCAGAACTTGTTTTAAATGTTAATAAACCTTTTTTGGTCTTGCTGAGCTTTATGCCTGTTTAAATTAGAACTTTCTTTATGTTCAAGGTTTTTAATTATCTCTTCACAGGGGGAGCAGTGCAATATTCAGCCTGATAATGTAGATGATATCGTGGCCGATCTTAACCAAGAGGAGAAGGAGATGGATGAAGGTAACTGTGTTATAATTATTAACTCAGGGTTCTATGGCCTTTACAGACAGAATGAGATCATTCCTATTGTCACCAGTGTTATTAAAAAAAACATAACCAGCCAATTCACTTTTTCTCCATGTATTTTACATCAGTTTGCAGGACTCATTAACTATTTTGCTTAAACATCAAGGGACAAATCACGAACATTGTTTTCCAATCCCTCAATGGCCTTACACCTCAGTAGTTCTGAAATCTCCTCCAGCTCTACCACCCTGTTAGATATCTGTGTTCCTCTAATCTTGACCTCCTGAGTATTCTCAAACTCCTTCACACCATTACTGCTGGCTATGCATTCAGCTACCCAGCCCTTGAACTCTTGAATGCCAAATCTAAATTTCTACCACTCTATCTCTTTCGCCTTCTTTAAGATGCTTCTTAAAACTTACCTCTTTAACCAAGCTTTTTGGTCAACTGTTTTAGTGTCTCCTAATGTTATTTGTTTTCAGATTTTCTTTCACAACATTCCTGTGATGTGCCTTGGAACAATTTATTTTATTAAAGGCACAATATAAATGTAAGTTATTGTGTTATTATTCCAGCACAGTGACTGTTTGAGTAAACTAATAGTCCAAGCACGTTATTTTTATCAAACAGAAACCTAAATAGTCATGGGAAAGATCACACACAAAGTGAATCAATATTTAAAAAAGGAACATTTAGAGAGAGAACTCTCTGGTGGTCCCTCAATATAATCTCAAACTTAGAAGGTTGAAGGGTAATCCAGCTGAGATCTTTAAAATTATAAGATGATTTGCTGGTGTAAAAAGAGGAAGGTATTTTGTCTAATACAGAAATCCAGAACAGGGGGACACAATAATAAATTATAGCCAGGCCATTGATGAATTAAACTGGAAAGTTACTTGACAGAAAATAAGGTTAGTTAAAATCTGGCACTCACTGTCCCAAATGGTTATTGAGGCTGCGGGCAATTGAAAGTTTCAAATCTATGTTTAATAGATTTTTGGTTGGGTAATGGTATCAAGGCATTAAATAAATGAAATTGGGCTACAGAGCAGACAGGTCTAATTGATTTAATGATAGTACAGGCATGAGGGACTGAATGGCCTTTCCTGCTTCTGAGCTGCCTGAGCCTGAGCTGCCAACTAAGATCTTGAAAGAGAAAAATTGAAGCAATCAAAATAGACCTAGGTGCCCAGATGGGATAGATAAAATACAAGCTTTGATGAAAGACCTTTCTCAGCCTTATATCCTTATTGCTTGTCTTCAGCTAGGTAAAGCTGCTTCAATTATGATGCAAAATTGTTTTGACCATGCCAGCAGGTTATTCTGCATCCACCTAATTACTTTCTTTTCATTTCAATGGAGAGGGAAGTTAGCAAAAGACAGGACGAGTGGGGTGGGCATAGAATGTATCCTTTATTGCCATTATGTTTTACATGATAATCGATAGTTAACTACATTAAATCTTCAGGTTAATAGTCATCATGTTCACCAACAATAAATTGTGTTCATTTGGTGTCTTTAAGGAAAGATGCTTCACAGAAGCAATTTAATACAAAATCTGACACCATGCCACATAAGGAGATATTAGGGCAAATGACCAAAAGCATGGTCAAGGAGGTTAGTACTAAAGAGACTTTTTAGAGAAGGAAAGCAAGGTAGAAAGGCACAAAGATTTAGGGAGAGTATTCCAGAAGTTAGAGTTTGGCAGCTGAAGATATTGGAAGACATGGGCAACAATTGTGAACCATTTAGAATGGGAGATGTTAAAGAGTCCTGAATTGGAGAACAGTGGAGGTTTGTGTGCCTGAGGTGAATTCAGGAGAGTGGAATGACAAGGCCACGGAAGAATTTGAAAACAAGGTCAAGATTTTAAAGTCAAGGTATTCCTTAACCAGGATCCAATGTAAACCAGTAGAGATGAAGTGATGGGTGAATGGGATTCAATGTGAATTAGAGCGCAGCAGTAGATTTCGATGGCCTCAAATGTATTGAGAGTAGAATGTAGGAGACTAAACAGATGTTTTCACATGTTGAAAAAGTTAAGTTCAACTTGTAAATAAATTGGTTGTGTGAGGTATTAGCCAGGAGAAGTGAGTAAATGTCTATTTCCCTTCATTCGCAGATGACACTCCAGAAACTTGTATCTACTCAAATTGGTCTCAGTGGTCAGCCTGCAGCTCCTCCACTTGTGAGAAGGGGAAACGGATGAGGCAAAGAATGCTCAAAGCACAACTGGATCTAAGTGTGCCTTGTCCACATACTCAAGATTTTGAGCCTTGCATGGGGCCAGGTTGCCGTGATGATGGTAAGCATGCACAGGAAATAATATGATGAGCAGATAAAGAAATTGTAGATGGTGAATGAAAGAGTCTACGACAGATGGTGTTGTGATGAAGAACCAAAACCGGTTCTATGCATGTTGAGAATTAACTCAAGTCTGGGAACGGAGAAACGTTATTTTCCTTTCAAGACTAGAGCCACATTTTAATACCAGCTCAAATTCATGAGACATTCTTTCCTTGGCGGTTGATAGGCTTGGATTTGACTGAATCTGTGCAGCCTCAATCCTGATCCTAGAGAATATGATTCTGCAATAGAAGACTGTAAATTATTAGGTACTCTATGGGAACCTTCAGGGAATAAAGACACAAGACAAATTCAAATTTCATTCACTAAAGAAAGAAAGAACTTACATTTCTATGGCCTCTTGCACAACTCTAATAGACTCCAAGCCTCTTTATAGTCCATGAATTACTTCTGAAGTGTAATCACTATTTGAAATACAAGGAAATATTGCACTCTGCAAGTTCTAAAACATCAGGGGTACATTGTGTAGACAATCTGTATTAGTGATATTGGTCAAAAGATAAGTAATGGCCCAAGACACTGCAAAGATCTTCTTGTTCTTCTTCAAACTAATGCCATGTGGTCTCTTAGATCTACCCAAGAGGGCAGTTAGGGTCTCAAATTGATGTCTCACCTGAAATATGAATGATACCAGTGCATAGGACAACATTCGTTTGAGGCTGCAAAAGACATACGTCTCCCCACCATCCCCCCCACCCCCCCACAACAAGTGACAGCACAGTGCTTCCTCAGCAATGACCCTCTGTTGGTCCAATGCATCCTCAACATTTACTAGTGGTCAGTGCTAATAATAGAGGCCAAGAGAGTAGGGAGGTCTTCCATTCCAAACCATTTATAACTTTCACCAGCATGAGGATTAGACGTTAAATGCTGCCATGGATAAATAAAAAGGAACCAAATGAATGCGGCTCCATTACAGGCACACTCAGGAGAATGTGTAATGGGGAATAGAACAATGGTGGAGAAACTAAATAATGTGTTTCTTTTCATTGTTGAATGTACAAGAAATCCCCCAGAATTAGAGATACAAGTGATAAGAGAGATTTGGAGTTGAAGGAAATTAGTACTTGTGAAAAGGCTGTGCTGGAAAAATTAATGGGGTTGAAAGTTGATAAGTTGTTGGGACCTGATTGCAAACATCCCAGAGTGCTGAAGGAGGTGACTATCGAGATGATAAATGTGAAGCTGGAAAAGCACAGCCCATCAGACTGCAACTGAGGTGCAAGAAAGTCAGTGTTAGCTTTCCTGCTCCTAGGACACTGTCTGACCGGCTGTGCTTTTCCAGCTTCACAATTATTGAGTCTAGCTTCCCAAGTGACTATCGAGATAGTTGATGCATTGGTAATCATCTTCCAAAATTCCTGGAGATTGGAAGCTAGCATATATCATCTCACTAATTAAGAAAGGAGCAAGAGAGAAAACAGGGAACGACAAACCTGTCAGCCTTCTATCAGTAGTAGAAAAAAATGCTAGAATTTATTATTAAGGACATGATAAACAAGCACTTGAATGAATGTGCGTTGATTGGTCATATTCAGCATGGATTTGCAAATGGAAAATCATGTTTGATGAACTTGTTGGAATTTTTGAGGACGTTATGAAGAAAATTGATAAAGGGGAGATGATGGATGTAGTATACTTGGATTTTCAGAAGGTATCTGTCAAGGGCCCCGCAGGAGATCGTTTGTTTTAGTTTTGCTAACCAAACGGGATAGGAGGTAATGTACTGGCATAGCTTAGGCTTAGGCTAACAGACAGAAAACAGAGAGTAGGAATAATTTGGCCCATTGACCGTGCACCAACGCTCTGAAAATCATGCCACCCAGACCCAGCCTCCACTCTATCCCTGTAACTCACCCAGCCTGCACACTATGGCGCAATTTAGCATGACCAATCCAACTAACCTGTAACACCTTTTGACTGTGGGAGGCAACCACACCACCTGGAGAAAGCACGCACAGACACGGGGAGAATGTACAAACTCCATACAGACAGTCATGGAATGGAGCCCAGGTCACTGGTGCTGTAAGGCAGCAGTGCTAACCACTTTCACATTGGCAGGTTGTGGTTAATGGGGTAGCACAAGGATTAGTACTTGGGGCTCCTGCTGTTTCTAATATACATCAGTGTTTTGGATGTGGGGACCAAATGTAATATTTACAAATTTGCAGATGATAAACGCTAAGCAAGAATATACATTGTGATGAAGATGTAAAGCGATGTCATGTGGATTTGGACAGGCGTAGCTAATGGGCAAGAACATGGCAGATGGAACATAATGTGAAAAAATTGAGGTTATCCACTTTGGTAAGAGCAGCAGATTTGCAGAGTATTCTTAAATGGTGAGAGGTTGGAAAGTGTAGATGTGCAAAGTCACTGAAGGCTAACATGTGGGTGCAGTAAACTATTAGGAAGGCTAATGGAATGTCAGTCTTTACTAAAAAAAGGAAGAGTGAAGTTTTGTTTCCATCATATAGGAGTTTGCTTTGATTACATGTGAGAAACCGTGAGCACCAAACAACTGTACCTCCCAGTCACAAACCATTTCAACTCCCCCTCCCACTCCTTGAACGACGTGTCCATCCTGGGCTTCCTGCAGTGCCACAACGATGCCACCTGAAGGTTGCAGGAACAGCACCTCATGTATCGTTTGGGAACCCTGCAGCCCAATGGTATCAATGTGGCCTTCACAAGCTTCAAAATCTCCCCTCCCCTGACCGCATCCCAAAACCAGCCCAGCTCATTCCCACCTCCCCAACTTGTCCTCCCACCTATCCACTCCTCCCACCTCAAGCCCCACCCCCATCTCCTACCTACTAGCCTCATCCCGCCTCCTTGACCTGTCCGTCCTCCCTGGACCGACCTATCCCATCCCTAACTCCCCACCTGCACTCACCTTTACTGGCTCCAACCCTGCCTCCTTGACCTGTCTGTCTCCTCTCCACCTATCTTCTCCTCTATCCATCTTCTATCTGCCTCCCCCTTTCTCCCTGTTTATTTCAGAATCCCCTTCCCCTTCTCCATTTCTGAAGAAGGGTCTAGGCCCGAAACGTCAGCCTTCCTGCTCCTCTGATGCTGCTTGACCTGCTGTGTTCATCCAGCTCTACACCTCGTTGTCCGCAGTTTTGGTCTCCATATCTCAAGAAAGATATTATTGCCATAAAGTGAATGCAATGAAAGGTCACCAGACTTGTTCCCAAGAAGATGGGACTTTCCTTTGAAGTGAGATTGGGGAATTTAGGCCTGCTTTCTCTGGAAATTCAAAGAGTGACAGATAATTTCACAAAATACTTCAAGGGATAGAGAAAATTAATTAAGGTACGATGTTTCCATCAGTTGGGGAGTCTAATATCAGGGAGCACAATTTTTAAATAAAATAAAAGAGACTCCATTTAGAATTGAGATGAGAAAAAAAATTCAGTACGTTGTGAATCTTTGGAATTCTCTCTCCTAAAGTGCTGTGGAAGCTCAGTCTTAGAGTATGTTTAAGGGAGAAATTGATAGATTTCTGATTACCAATGGCATACAGGGTTATGGGGATGGGATGGGTACAGGGCATCAAAGTGTTCAATTAGCCACGATCATAATCAGTGGCAGAGCAATCTCAATGGACTGAATATCCCACTTGTGTTCCCACGATCCTAAAGTAGAATGTATTTTTTCTAATTCTGTACTCCTGATCGATTTTAGAATCACAAGTCTAATTTGCCTCCTGAGAATATTATTCATTCATTTTTCCCTCTCTCTAAACTGGTAATTTTGTAATGCCGCACAGAAGATCCCATCCACTCAGTACATGGAATGGAGATGATATCTTCCAGGTTTCCACCTCCTTGCTGCTGTGGTTGAATGACTGGACCTCACAATAAGCTAACACAGCTAGGAAGCCTGCAGAAATATGCTTGAGATTTCTATTCCAAATCATTTAAAGCAGACAATTTATATGTCAGTCCTCCTTTACACGTGGGAGCAGCTGTTTCCTTTGATAGTGAACTTGCAGCTGTAAAACACCTTCCAACAATAGCTCAGCTCCTAAAGCATGGAAAGATCAGGAGAGAGATGTCGAGGGTGGGGGTAGTAATTTTGTGTGCTTGGCAATAAGCACTCAGTATCTAAGAGAAACAAAACACAGCATTTTAAAGAGGAGGCTGTATTGGCAGTGCAAGTTGAGGGATAAATTTTACCAGTGCCCTGAGAAGATTTCTTGAGGATTGAATGATAAATGTTGTCCAAGACAGTGAGAGAATTTATTTCCCATTCTCCAGAAAAATGTAATTTTTCTTGGTATTCAAACCATGACGGTTTACGACACAACATTAGTTAATAATAAGCAGTAAGCGTACAGAAAGGTCATCATTCATGTATAAAAGGTTTTCTCTTTGAAGAGTTTATCCCTTCAGTCATGTTGCTACTGATCAGAATGAGCACCCCATGGAAACAGGAATCCAGAAGTCCTAATGTCATTATCCCATCTCAATCCACAGAATCATCAACGTAGCTCTAGAGACAAGGGGAAAGCCCTTCACCACATCAGGTCCCTCCAACCTCTTCACACCCTTTCATTCTCATCATCCTTCATAACAGTTTGACCCAGCTTACCCTCTCTCCCTGTATCTCTTTCCCCTCCCCTTGCTCCGACTCCCTTTAACAAGTAAACTCCCTTATCCCCTTTTAGCATCCTTCAACACTTCTCTCTCCATCCCTCTCCCCTTACCACTTCTCTGCTCTGCTCCCTGATCTCCTTAATCCACTTAGTATTGACTTCATTAACAGAACTCACAAATTCTATAAAATATTTGGACAACTTTGAGACGTTCCAGAAAATAAACATCACTTCAGTATGCACTTGGAAACTATTATCCTCTGGGAACACCATAAATCTGCCAAAATAAACAAAATTTCAACAGGTAATTGAAAACATGATTCACTTACAAATAC